CTTTCTATCGCCTTTTAAGAGTCGCATAGTTATAGCCTAATCTGCACTTGCAGTCACACTCGAAAAGGATAATTTTGTTGAAATATCTAAAAATTTAAGCTAGATAGATCTTTGTTAGGGTGTATAGGTCATCAAAATAATTATATAGAATACTCAGTCTGGTTGCTACAATGTCAAATTTTTTTTGCAGCATTATTTACTATTTTTGAAATTTCGACGTAATTATTTTGATGGTCCAACAAAATTATTTTTAAATCTATATTTAGCTAATATTTATAGATACTTTAACAAAACCATCCTTTCCATGCAATCGTTAGTGCAGCTTCAGCGGTAGACACTGTGACGACACTTCGATGGCGAATAAAGCAAAGTAAGCAGTTTCAAATATGACGATTCGTCTTTGATTCATTGCGAATAAAATCATTCAAGTAAAAGAGAGACAAAGAATTATTTTTAAAAATAAATTTAAAATGATAACAATAATATTGTTATCAAAGATAATATTATACAGAATGTTTTAGCCCCACTTTGAGATATTTTGGATTTTTAATTTTATAAAAAAATTATTATGTAATACATATTAATTATTTAATATATAATAAGTTGATCGTCATGCGATGATACATACATTTCTCTTTATCATTTTTTTATACGTGCCTTTTCGAATAAACGCAGGTGACTCAATCACTGTGAATCATTTTTTGCATTCTTTGCGTGCATATATGTCGATTGCAGATTATAAATTATAGTTTTACGAATGATGTGCCGAGAATATGTCACTCTCGTGGATGATGTACGCGAAAACACCTGGTCTTTTTCTTCTTATCGGAAATAGGCAGAATGCAACATATTTAGCCCGTCGTACCTATCCAACAACTACTTTGCCTTACCTCATCTTACCTATTCACAATGCATTCCCTGTTCTTCCCTGTTCTTGTAGAAACACCTTAATTTTGTCTTGTGAAATTTTAATGTGGATAAGAAGGAAGTTAATAAAATTATAAAATATATAAAACTGGTTTCTTTATTTATATATACTGATATATATATATCTCTATATAT